TGCTGATGGCTAATCCTGTATGATGTAGGTTGGTGCGGTAGCAGGGAATGGATGTTGAAGATGATGGGGGTGTTTTGTTTGTTGTATGGGATCCGATGGACTTATAAACTCTTCGAGTTCTTCAACTTTGGTTTCTTGTTCCTCTCTTCCGTTCATCTCCTCCTTCTCTACTCTGGCCGATGAAGCATTGTGTTTACTATCGCATTGTTATGTAAATATAATATGTACCAATTTATGAAATCAACTTGTCGTCCGAAAGAATTTTATAGAAATCGATTTTTTCCCTTGGATGACGTCATCGTGGGCTGTGCTGGTCGTCCTGTTGACCAGGGGGGAGGGTCAGTGGCCGCGGGGTACATATAAAAGAAAGTCGAGCCAGTTTGACTTCACAGCACTCCTCAACCAATCATGGGTAACTCAACCTCCAACCAACAACTTCACCATCACCACCACCACCACCACCACCACCAACAGCATAGCAGCAGCAGCAACAACAGCAGCAGCAACAACAGGAAACACACTCGACCGACTGCTGCAGCCTCACTCTCCTCATTCACAAGCCAACTCAAACAACAGCATCATCAGCATCAGCAACACCAGCAGCCCAGTCAGAAACAGCAGAGCACTGAACAGCAACAGCAACAGCAACAGCAACAACAGTCAGTCAGAAGAAGGAAGTCACTCGAACTACCCGACCTAACAACAACTGCCAGCCAACTGCAGACCAGCTCACACCACCTATCAAACTTCCAGCTCAAACTACCCTCGATCACCTCAAGGTCCTCAAGCCCACTCACCACCTCCCAGCCACTCTCTAGCTCACCCCTCTCAACCACACTCGACTCACTCAAACTAGACTCAACCCACCACCCTTCAACCAACATCCGATCAACCCCTCCCGACTTGCACCAACAGGTCGGCGTGACCCTGCCCGCCAGTCCCACCCCAATCCAACCTGACTCGGATCCGATCATCCATTCCAAACATGGCAGCCAACAGCAACAATCACCCCTGCTCAGCTCGATCTTACCCTCCAACTCCCCCATCATCAGCTCAGCACCCCTTCAGCAACCAGTCGAGACCGTCGTCCCTCCCCTCCCGCCTGCAATCATCCAGCCCCTCCCATCTCCACTCCCCTCCCTCGATGCCGACTCGGCCGAACTGCCTGCCTGTCCTTCTGCTGCCTTCACCACCGCAGTCACCGAGACCGTCGCAGCAGCAACCGCCGTCGTCCAAGCCGCACCCGCTCTCGACATCGGCGCTGGCCCTGAAGGCGTCCCCACCCTGCTAACTTGGAAGGAACCCGCCAACGAAGTCTATGTGACCGGTACGTTCAGTAAATGGAGACAGCAAATCAAACTACGTAAACCGGTTATACCCAAGTGAGCATATTTCTCTCTGCATTGATCGTGAAAATATATACTCATTATACTGCTTTGATCAATCGATCCATCTATCGGCCGATGGTTTCTTCTTTAGTACGTCCACCCAACAGGACGCCTTCTCAGCTCTAGTCGCACTACCACCGGGCCCGCATCAACTGAAGTTCATTGTAGACCGACGCTGGAAGACGTCTAAGTATCTACCATCGGCGACGGACGACAAGGGCAATCTGATTAACTATTTGCAAGTCAATCCAGGTGACCAGCCCTTCCGAGGATTAGGGCCGCGAGGGATATGGAGTGGGTACACGTATGCAGACTGGCCGATGGGCGCGTCGATACTCGAGGATGGGAGCTCGGAACGGACAGACTCGGAGGACGGATGGACGACAGAGATCCCGGCGGCACTACTCGATTACGAGGAATACCACGACCGCTCCTCCGCCGATGAACAGGAACAAGAGCAACCATCCGAAAGGACCTCCTCCCAGAATCCCGAACAGACCGCTCACTCAGAGGACCCTACTCCAGGTCAAGCTGGCTTCGCCGCCGAGCCCCCCAAACTTCCGGCCCAACTCAAGGAAGGCATCCTTAACTTATCCTCCCGTCTACCCGAAGGCTCTAGTGATGATAACTCTCTCCTGCCGAGACCTGATCACTCGGTCCTTAATCATCTTGCTGCTAGTCCTATCAGACAAGGCTTGCTTAGCGTCGGTGTTACTTCTAGGTTTAAACGCAAGGTTCGTCTCCTCACTCCGCTTCTTTCTCTTGATACTGTTCATCTCTCTTGGTTTTTTTTTTATCTTTGCTTACTCTGTTTTGTTTCTTTTTTTTTCCTTCAGTATCTTACTACTGTTTATTATAAACCTGTTGACCTATAAAAATTATCCCCCCACCCTTTCCTTCTCTCATACTCCCATGTATATATACTCCATATCAACACTTATCCCCACTGCCAACTTCTTCTCTTCTTCCTTCTCTATGGTTATCATGATTTATATTCTTCTTCCATTTATATATCTATATCCACAAAAAAAAGACAACAAGTTGATTGTAACGACTTTTTCTCTGCTTCCTTCTTTATTTACTTGCTCTCTTGTGAGATTGATTGAATGAAATTGAAAAAAAAAGGATTGATCAATTCAAAGGAATTGTTTGATTATAATTTTTCTTGGTGTGATTATTGTATGCACATTGTCATATACATGTCTTGTTTCTCAATCCCCCACCCCCTCCTTTATCAATCCTCTTATTTGTTTATTTTTATCTTATAAAATGAGAAAAAACGGAGGATGTGTTTCAGGTGATTTTGTTAAAATAAAGACTAACTTTTTTTTCTGCTCTGCAGAGGCTTTGGGGGCTAGTCAGAATATTAGGATGCTTATTTTAATTGTTCAACAAATAGATAAGGGAAGATGAAAGAATACTAAATTGTTATTGATCATTTTTGAATTATGTAAATTCAACAACAAGATAATTTTTTGAAAGAAAAAAAAAAAAAATCTGGGAGGGGGGGAATATGGAAAAGGAACTGATTGTGAGAAAATAAAATCTTGACACATGTTTTTCATCTCAGGTTTTTTATTATTATTTTTGTTGTGAGGCCATTGGAGAGTGGTGGTTGAGCTTTCAGTTTTTTTTTGTGGTCATAATTATGCTCCTGGGGTCTGACATGATGGTATGACTGAAATAGCTTTGTGGTCCATCCCAAACCTGGATCCAATCACCGTTGACAAGATTATCCCTGCATCCACAATTCCAACCACTTCCCTTTCCTTTTTGACTGGCTGACAGGTGGCACTTGTAAAAGTTAAAACATCTAAAAAGACTCAGTAAATCAAACCTACAATCTTGTTACATGAACAAGTCAAGAATAGGGAAGCTCATGCACTGCTGATTTGGTCTAACTTTGAGGAGTTGTTAGCATGCTTTGAATGGATCAAATCAATTGAGATACTCTGGACCATTTGGGGCCGAGTTCTTTTGGCAGCCAGGAATCACAGTCCACACTGGAAGACTGACTACAAGCAAGGACACGTAAATAACCAATCGATTGTTTCTTTGATACAATGCCATACTATGGCTCATAGGTGCTAAGTACATACCTATCAGGCCATCAAGCTGTCTAAGTACATACCTATGCGGCTGTACAGGACCCCAAGCCCATGGATCCGAAATGTTGGCTTGCAAAAAAAAAAACTTTTTTGTTATTGCACTTGGGGCTTAGTCCTTTTAACTGTGGAAGCTACAACCCTCAACAATGCCGAATCTACAATAAAACTGGGTGATAGGCCCCCAGTGCTTTCAAACATCCGGGCCGCAGGTCCAACCCAACTTTTGGTGAGGGTCGTGTACAGTAAGATGGGTTGCGCCACTGTAGATATCAGACTCCATTTCATGATTCAGAAAAAGAAAACAAGAAAACTGGGAAATGGCTCAGAGACCCACCTGGTTCCATGAATAAAGAGAAAAAGAAATATGTATGCAATCCATTTACATATGTAACTTATGTAGTAGATAGCTCATGAGCCCATCACTGATGAACCTCCCAACTGCTGGTGAATCATGAAGGGAAGTTTGAATGGTCAGCGGAGGTTAAGCTGCAGATAAAGAGGTCCAACAATCTTGGATATTGCTCCGGATGTGACATCATCGGATCCGACACAGCCTCATGCAGGGGACATGCTTCAGTGGGGCTTGACTTGAGCACAGCACAAACGCCCTTCTTCAAGATAAACACCAATCAGCCAAACCCTTGCCAAAATATCATACACACAACAAAAAGTCATGGACAGCTTTATGAAATTGGTAAGCATCACTTCATGGTCACCTCTGTTGACCATCACTCAGAAACATCAACCCAACTTCCACTCCTTTGACCTGCCTCTCCCTACAGGGCCAACAAGCCTACAAGCAGTACTCCGATAAACAATCTCATGGGGATAATACCACAGGTGGCGGTGGTGGCAATGACTTCAACGTCATGGGCGGTGCCCATCTCAACCGACCAGCGGGTGGTCAAATGATCGATACGGATGGCGATGGTCAGTAACTTTCTCTGATCATATCCTTCATTCCGGTATTCGGATTCATCGCTTTACTTCTTTCTTTTCTCTGAGGCAGAGGTTGATTTTTTGCTGTTGTTTTGCATTCCCAACTTGAAATGATTTGTTGTCAAAGGTATTCCTGACTTGGAGCAGGCTGCTGCACATGCCTCTGGAAACTCAGGCGACTCAGGAGACTCCTGTGAGTACCCACCGTTCTTGTATCGTATATATCATTCAAACGTCTGAAATCATCCGCAATAAATGATGTCATATTATGTTTCGGTTTGAATAGCTCTATTCAAGAGCGCCGTATCGTTCCTCAAAACCCAAGCGCAAAAGAAAGGGGACGATGACGATGATGATATTGATGAGGAGAAAGCGGTTGAGGCACACGATCGAGCTTACAATCAAAAGCAAGGTAGCTCGCTCGATGCTAAATCGATGGGCACTGCTGCTGCCCTGCAAGCCTTTAAACAGTTTAGTCAAGGTGGTGGCTCAAACGAGCCGAAGCCTACCGAAGACAACAAAAGCAAATTGATCGGCATGGCCATGGCCCAGGCTGCCAAATTATTTGACTCTAGCGGTATGCACTTCAAATGGACTTCTTTCATCTTCCTCTTCTGTCATATGATCCTAAACTATGACTGTTTCCTCAATCAGGTGGAGCATCTGGTGGCCAAAAACAAGACGCTGTGAACTCTGCGGGCAGTATGGTCATGAAGGCGAGCTCAGTTTCCTTTTTGTTTATTAAAACTAAACATTCCCTATTCTCAACAGGCTTGAAGATTCCACTCAGATGCTGATTATCATACTAAATAGTTATTGATGAAGCAAAAGCTACAGCAGATGACAGGTGGTGGTGGTGGTGGCAGCAGCGGAGGCGGCTTAGGAGGCTTAGCCAGTATGATCGGAAAGTAAGCAGTAACCGATCCTTTATTTCAAATCTGATGAACACAACGTTCATTAATGATTTCTCCAAAACAGGTTTGCTTAAAAGGGGCGAAAAATGAATCCGATTTCGATGGACCTTGCTAAGGCAAAAAGAAATTCCTCATCATGAAAAAAGATAAGGAAATTTCAAAAGTCGAAAGTATATGTTACCCGAGCTTTATAAACAGATTGTAGCCTGGATGTCCTGAGATTTATGACCTCAAGTTTTATTTCAATTTTATCTGCTCCAAACACAAAAGTATGCAAGCTATGATGATTAATCTTGAATGATCAGTCAGAGGTACCCATTTATAAGCTGCCATATTGTTTTTCCAACAAATCCAGGTACATGATCCCTCTGGCTTGAAATAAGGGCTATAAGCTGTCGCCGGTGTGACCTAACGGAATCCCTCAAGGGGCTCGGGCAATTGCACGATATCCCTGGTCTTGTTTTGTCGGGATTCTAGTCAAGCTTATCTAACTTATACCTTCCAGACCTTTATTTCATCTTTACAAGTTATCTCATGATTTTCCCTCATAGTTGTTCTTCTTTTTGCTATTTTTGTTCATAAAACGCCTCAACTAAAGAAATTGCAAAGTGGATTCCATCTTACCCCCCCAAAAGCAGATACATACATACATTTTACCACTTCAAGCTGAATAAAGCTTCAGAAACATCTTTATAATGGCCCAACCCCCCCTTTTTTCTGATTTCCCAGAATTTTTACAAAATTCACTGATACCACTTGACATTAGAACTTACATAATTACTAATCGGATAAAGAAAATGCAAACATAACACGCGGCATTAATTACGCCACTGATTAGCGAATCAAAACGCAAAAAATATTAATCAAAACATATCATCTAGGACATAAAGACCGCCAAGGATTTGATTGATAGACCTTTTCTTTTCTTTGTCTCAAGATGCCCGTGAGGTTTTCAAACAAAGATATCATACGAAGTGAGCTATATTAGGTTGATGCATTAGGCGCTCTTGCAATTTTCGGTGCCGTTGATCTTCAAGTGCTCTTCATTCGTATAAATATCTGTTTGGAATTTTCGGATTATTAAGAAGACTACTCCTATCTAACTAACGGTTGGAAGACTGCAGATCAAATGTCAATTCAGTAGAATGACTAGGGTATTATAAAACAAAACGGAGATTGCACAACAGTTTTTATTTATTTCTATTATAACTAGCTAGCAAATTCCTTCAATAAACTCATTAGAGAGTCGATCGTTGAGATCCGATGAGCGCGCCTTTTTGCTATATTCTTGAGAAAGATCTCCAAAACTGGTATAATTACTTCAGACCGAGGAATCGACTTCAGGTAGTTGAAAATGTCGTATTCAAACTCAGCAAAAGCCAGAGCGTGAAGGTGGTCGATAGTTGTCATACGCAGGGTCATAATATCCACCAAGCGATTGCCGATTGCTCATATGATCACGTGCGCGAGAAGTGGACCGTGAGCTACTGGATCCCTGTCCGTAATAGCTCATACCAACAGATCCCTCTCGTCTTGAATCGGTGATGCTGTGGGAGGAGGAATTGCTCGAGGAAGGGCTACGAATGTCATTCCTTGACATATGTCCAACAGGGGAAAGCCTAAGAACCACGTATGTGTACCGAAGTGTTTCTGGGTTCGAAGGATGTGCGCCAAAACCAGAGCCAAGGTATCCTTCAAATTTGAAGGGTATCCAGCTGTTGCTTGCACTTCTCAAGCGGAAAATGTGGGTGTGCACTGCAGCCCCTGAGAGTCGACCTGTCAACTCGGACATAGAAACTTGATGGAGTCGAGAAGCAGACACAGGTACAGGGCGGCTAGTCACACCTGGATACGTCAAAAGTCCAATTGAAAATCTTGCATATTCCTGTTTCTCATCAGGATGGATAAAACTCGAGAAGGGTTGCTCAAGCACAGTTTTCAAGGGCTTTGAGTGTGACAATACGCACATATTAGCGTGAGCTTCTTAGCGCAAGTGCGAGTAGGAAATCTTGTTCCTCTGGGCGAAAATCACTTACCAATCCCAGGGTTTGTACTAATGATGAAGTAAGGCGCGCACATCGTAAGGATGTGCTCATGATGATAACAAGGTCTTCAGATTCGTTATTAGGGCCATTTGTGGCATCGGTAGATAACTCCTGCATCATGGATGTTGTTACACCGACCGAGGTCAGATCAGAAGCGCGAGGTCGGCCTCGTTTTTTCGGCTGTGATCAAATTTCGACGCGAGAGAAAACAAACACAAAAACCAATGAGTTTCCGTTTCTGATCTGAATCTCCGCTGGAGAAATACCTACCTCTACATCAATGCATGTTGCAGCCCGGCCAGTTTGCAAACAACGGCGACATGGGCGGCCATCTGAACAGGCAAGGTGAGCTGAGCGACAATTGGTGCAGGCAACTGACACGCTGGAAATCGAAGTAAGAAGCAAGCGAGTTCGGTGAGAAGGTTTTGGACATAGCCAGAGGTATCAAAACATTGAATTTATTAACTATTTCTTGGGTCAAGAGACAATTTCTGGATCAAAGCTCTTATTGGTGAATGAGATGCTCACGTGGATCTAGTTGCTGTCACAGGAGGTACATTCCCACTTGCACTCAAGGCAGAATGTCGAGTGTTTATTCCAGCCGACGTGTTACCCGGGGAGGCTGGCAAAAGACTCGGATGTGCACCTATTGTGGCAGACGACCCATACCGACGACCGTCCGTTGAGGGGGTCCTTATCATAGAAGACCTGGGGGTACCCGCTGAGGCTAAGGAAGTGGAGGAAATCGACAACCTCCTTGAACCCGATTCGGAGGGTCTCCCGGTGTTCTGGTGGTGGTAATACGAGTGGTGAAAATCAGGCTGAGATGATGTTGGAAGGTATTCCCCCACTTGTGAGCGCAAAGACGGCAGCGTTGGGCGGGAGCTAATGGTTTCAGGAGTTTCGGTATCATAGAGACTTTTATGAGAGCGTGAGCGGCTCATGGCCTTCGAATCTTCTGGATGGGCGTGCCGTTGGTATAACCCTCTGGGTGATGAAAAATCTGTCGGAAACCCCAAGCAAAATCGATTGGCGTCTTTGAATGACCAGCAAGGTCCCTGCGTCATTGAGGAGAGGTCACAAAGGTTTGTTTATTTAACAGACGTGGATACACGACGAGTCAAATCAAATTTCCAGGTATGAATGGTTAATGTGTGCGACCCAGAGGTTAACAAAACATGATTGGAGTAGTGCAGTTAGAAAGGCAGAATGTTGGAGCATTTTAAGGCGAGAATTGAGGGAAATAATGTAACAAGTTTGCATGGCGACGTGTGTGATGGAGGGTAGCCAAGCCGGGGTGACCATGTCCATCATTGAACATTTGTGGTTATGTCAAGAAACCAAGTCGAAGCCACCAAGGATTAGAATCTGTCAGTGACGTGTTCGGGCGCTCCTCAATGAAACAAAGATTACTCGACCGGACACTCACAGCGGAACCAAAGGCACCAAGCCTAAACACCAGATCGCCGCAGGATGTGTAGTGTCAGAAAGAAGTAATGGACAACGATACACAGAGACCCACACAACTTGCGACGCAGATGGTGTGTAAGGGCGACCCAGCAAGCCAACACTACAAAGTGAAAAACTTTAGCACGGGATTTCTCGTCACAGACTTTTTGAATCCCTCGATGGTCGATGTCGGAGAGGAAGTGTCGCAGAATATGGCGTTGGGGAGAGGTTGGCTAGCGAGTATGTATCAGGGAAGGAAGCTGTCAGCAGCACTCGACAAAACGTAGCTTCGTTTGACTAAAAAAGGCGCGCAGGTATGTAGAGGATTCTCGTCTTCCAGTCTTCTTCTGAAACTTGAAAATGATGGATCTAACCGCGTATGGCGTCGGGGGGATATTTTTGTCGGCAAGCAAGCCGAAGAGACGAAAAATGTCTCCACTCACTTCCTAGTGGGTGCTTGCTAGCGTAATATGTACTCAACCTGTAAATAAGAAGCGATCAGCTCGACTGAATAATAAATAATATGTTTGGTCTCCTTGAATGATGGAAATTTTTCTAATGCTCCGTGCCCTTGTTTTTCTTCTCACCAGAAACCGAGCCGGCGCAAAAACTTGTGTGATTTTAGTGGAGCTAGATGGCATGCAGTATAATTTTTGGGAACTGAACAAATGACTGATGACAGCGCAATGCATTACAACCACACAGGTGAACAGAGTCGGCCACTCTAGTGTTTCTAGACTTCTAGTTCTACTCCCTATGTATGCAGTGCGCACTTTTTTTTTTTTGATAAACTAACGGTATTAGCTGAAGTTCAGAATTTAAAAGAGCGACAACAAAAGATGTGATAGTACTTTTAGTACATAATGCTCATTTGTTGATACCGCACATTTTGACTGCAAGTACGTAACTTCAATAGCTGAGGATGAGCGTATTATCCAGCATCAGAGCCCATCCAGAGTCAAAGCCTGCTAATCAGATACACATGCTTGAAGGAACTCTGGGGAGTGCCAAATCCTTAGGCGACCGCGAAGGTTAACTTGAGTTGCAAGAAATTGGACAACATCTACCTCAATATCTACATGTTTATAGGATTTATGGGAAATTGCTATACATAGATGGACGCTCGACTGGGCGTGCTAAACCTAGTGAATTTGCCCGACAGTGGATCAAAGTCCAACGGTTGACCGGTGAATCATGACCTATTATGACTTTTTGGACGACGGGCAAAGTGGTTTAACACTTTGGAGGATCATTGGAGAAAGCGTCTTGTGACTTGAAAGTTGACATTCTCATTTCAGACCACCTGCCCACCTTTAGGACTTCAGTCATGCCACAAAAGACGGGAAAAGAAAGTGTTCACTGATACGCATTCGCTTAAACGGCTATGCATCCGTGACTTGCGATTAGTCAGGTCTATGGGGCACGACACGGAACTAAAGGTGACTTCGGCGGTCGGCCATAATCCGGAGCGCTTGTGCCAGCTTCAAAGCTTGTACCCCAAGGAGACCGCAACTTCCAAGTCACTCTCAGGAGTCAAAAGTGCAACATGCTTTTGAGATTGGAACTTAGAAGCATGCAACTGCAATACACAATTTTTACTCATTTGCTCATTTTCTCTCCAAGGCTCTATGAGGTTTACCCTCTGAGGGCATATAATTCCAAGGTGGGGTATGATCACGGCTGCATTTCGTCAAAACTTGACATCATCCTTGAGATCCAGGAGTCTTCACTGGGCTACTGAGGACATACATACTCAGCTATACATACGTCACCTAAAGAAAGCAGCCAGTCGAGTCTGTCTCTGGTCATATGGTTAACAGCCGTCCAACAAAAAATGCTTATTTATGAATCCTTCGTGCTCACGATGCATGGAAATTTGTGTGTGGGGGTGGGAAGCCTCTTGACTCGGTTCAAAATCCCTTGTAGACAATCGCATAGTCATCAAATGAGGGTGGCATGATGGTCTTGAAGTTGAATAACAGGAAAAGACTTTCCAACTGCTGAGAAACAACATCCGATACATTGTACTTCGACAGACTTCGACGCAAGAAATCCGCTACAATTGTACTTCGATGCAAGTGCTACAATACAAGTTGTAACTGTTGCAACCGAGCTCGACAAAATCTATGTAGCGAGGCTCGAGCCGGGGTAATTATTTAAGTATCTCTTGAAGAGGGTTTCATACATAAACATGGAGTTTCTTGGTGAAACTTATCGGATTAAGTTAGCGTGTGTCAAGTTCATTTACATATTTTGAGTACATAACAAACATGCTGCCCGGTAAATATTTACGTATGTACATCAGAATACATACCCTGAGGTTTCAACTTCGAGCAGAGCAAGAGTTGGAATCTGGATTAAAATGTAAGAAGCAATAAAGCATATTTTTTTAAGGCTCAGCGAGCCGGTGGCCTGGTACACCTTGGGTCTATGGCACACGTGCCAGATTCAGTCCTTCGTAGAGATTGGTAGAGCATTTCAGAGCAAAAATGAGCCGACCGTCAAGACTTACATCCGGGCGATCCGATCAAAATGCGGTTGTCCAAGTGATGGAGGCCAGAGTCGCAGGCTGTCGCAAGAGCGCCAAATTGGCTTGTGACTACGAGTCACTGAGGCGCCATCGTTCCTGACCATAAGGTCACTTAACAGGTGGCCACCGATGCGAGATGTCCCTGAATATGAACCAAAACACGTCATTGCGACAGATAAATCGCCCCAAGGGCACCCTTTTGCCGGCCCTAACATGCAAGTGACAAAATGTCGAATTTGTGGAGATGGAATTTCATGAAAACCAGTGTTTTGATTTCTTTCTTTTTGTGACTTGAATGTTTTTTGATGAACTGGAAGAGTCATCCATATGGAGGACTGGACAACTTGCCATCAAGATCTGTGGGGCTCCCAGAAGCAATTCAAAGCCTCCAAAGCAATATATCCCAGTGAAAATCTAGACTTTTTGTGTCTAACTTGACATCTGTGAGGGTCCCAGATTTGACAAGAAGTCCTCCACTTCTTGTGGTCCAACTTTGTTAATATAGAAGGACATCCTAAATGTTACTTACTGGCAAAAATCAATCAAGATCAAGTTTTCACCAGCCAATAGCCCAGTTCATGCAGAGTGTTCTTATTGACAAGTGAAAAAAGTTGCACTGCTTGTTGCTTTGACTGTTTTGCTTATAATAGGGTATCAAATATCAAAACTTGATAAGTGAGATGGTGTTAAGCATTGCTTGTTGCAGAAATCTTATTTGTGAGCAAGCAGCTACATGAACTGGGCTGATAGAGTTTAGCAACCCCTTTTTAATCAAGAAATTTAGGTGGCTGGAAGTGTGCATCACCTACTGGGAACCCTACCCCCAAAAGTTGATGGTGTACTGGTCAAAGTACCAATCAAAGCAGAAGCCAGCTCATGTTGCCTCATGTTACAATATCTTTTTCAAATACTTGAACCAGATCTCTGCTGTGAACTGCCTGTGAGACCTCCATACAGGTTTTTACTACAACTGACACACAATTTTACATCAGTGTTGAACTTGCCAGACTACGTGAACTATTGCAGGCCCCATGCTCTCCTAGCTCAGTAGAGATCTCTGACCCTTTCTTCTGCTGAGCTAGGTGAGTGATTTGTTCTTTCCCCTTTTCTTTCTATTTTCTCAATCCTTTTCTCCTACATGTTTTTTCCTTGTTTTCTCTTCTTCAGTTTCTTTCTTCAGTTTCTTTCCCTTTGTTAGTCAAGATCTCTGACCCTTTCTTCTACGGAGCTGGTAGTTCAAGCCAGGTTCCTATAAGTTTTTCTCTCCTAGACACAGCCTAGTCTGAACAGTGAAGAGTCATTTCTGGAATCTTACAAGGCCTTTCTAGAAACATAGCATAATGACACTCACAAATTGTCAGAGTTTATGACTCCCTACGGCTAAGCCATGGATTAATGACAGCCAAGAGGTTGGTTTATTCCAGGTTCAGAAGGAGGGGTTTTCAAAATTTGATCTCTATCAAGGTATACTGCACCCAAAGTAGACATCCCTGATGGACTTCTCAGAGTGGTGTGAGGCACTGGCTGTTGAAATATGATTATAGCCTAGTCAGTATGCGTCCAAAAAAACTGTGTTTGCATGTAGTCTACACTAGCTCTGCCTCTACAGAACTTTCCTCACTGAATCTAAAACCAAATTTTACTAGGGAATAGTATGGCTGGGGCAAAATTTGAGATCTCAGCTTAGTGAAACAGGATTAATAAAAGAAAAGTATGCATTAGGGGGTTTCATGGATTGAATTTTAGAGCCATATTCAACATCTTTATGATGAGCATTTTCTAATTTTTGTGGGTTTCTCAGATTGAGCATTTCTGAACATTAGAGACTGATTTAAGTGTAGTGTAGTTGAGGAATAAGTTCAACTGAGCATTGAAAGAGGCCAATGTTCATGGCTCAAAACCAATGCACAACTTCCTGAGGTCGCTATTTAACAATGAATTTGGCACAGGTTTTTGGCATAATCATCTACCTCAACCTAATTCCAAATAAGGAAAACGGTCCCTGGCCAAATCTATTTAACGTTGTGCTTTCTTAAGCTTTGAAAAGGAGAAGTGTCAGTTGGAATAGGGAATCTCACTCATGACAGGTCTTGTTAAAAATTATTCATCAACATTGCCGGAAGAGATGCTCTTTTGTTGATGATGGCATAAATTAATTCTATCCTCAATATGATCTTCCACTCATGATTTGACCTGCTTGTTCATTGAGTGGCTCAGGCAAACAATTACACAAATGAGTAGAAAAGCAAAAAAA